TATCGAGGAAGGCTAAATAAGATCACGCTACGATGAATAGGAGCGTCAATTAATAATGTTGCTAAAACGGGAAATGTTTAAACAATTTCCACGCGTATGAAGTCGTAGGGACAGCTAGTTTACTTATTCAATGTCCATTTTGGAGATTTCACAGATCTTCTTTAGACATCGTCAGCAAATAAGATCCACTTTTTTGTTGCAAAGCACCTGTTACAATTGCTTAAGGTGTGTTTATCTTGCTGTGCGGTCGTTTGTACCTACTTGTTGATGCGATGCGCGCGCACTTCCGTCGCTGTTATGTCCAATATCCGCTGCAGAATAATCTCGATATGCGCATGATAAATAAACTAAACACAGGTGATCAACATCAGTTAAGAGCGTAAAATAATATTTAAAAAAAACTTGTCGCTATTTCTAACCTGATAGGTGAAGAAGTAACGAAGAAAATAGAGTTACTAGGCCCTTTATGCTTTATAAAAGCTTTCTCTGGGTTGATAAGTCTGTTTATCGCAAATTAGATTAGGGCTTGGAATAATAGTTTTATTTTAAAACATTTTTCAAAAATTCTGCTGAACTCTGATATCTATGGTGGCTCTTTCATATAAAAGTTTTGAGCAGTTTTAGGTCCTAATTTGTCAATTTTATTCCAACGCAGTTGTCAAAATTTCCGTGAGCGGTACTGCAAAATGTAAGACTGACTTTGGTCCTGCTCACTTTTGTAAAGTTGTAAAGTTTTTTTTAAATTATTAATTAAGGATTTTATTCTATTGCTTTATTATTCAAATTCAGTAAAGCAGTGCAATGATTATTCCAACAGTTTTATGTGTCTCCTATTCATGGATATTATGATAAGTGCACACACTTCCGTCGCCCAGCTCGCTCATAATGGTCAATATCCGGCGCACTAATCCATCGTCCTAATTTAGTTTATGTTTGTATTATACTATGCTAATTTATTACCCACTAGCTGTTCATTAGATTCGCATCAAGTTTTTACAGGTTTTGCCGGTATCAATCATAATTTTAAAAAGATTCAAGTCTTATTATGAAACGGGGAAATGCCCTTGTTAGCGGCCAAGTTTTAAAAACTTATAATAAAAAAATACTGTTTCATGTAACGTAACGGACTTCAGTAACGGACCTACATGAATAAGTTAATCTACCTCCTACAGCCAACGGAGCTTTGATTCCTACTTTCATAAAATCACTAAGTCAGTTTCACTGCTTTTTTCTGCGACCATCCGTCTCTATTCTAAAAAGCTACTAAAAGCTCAAGATTTCGTTTACTTTCATCGTCCTAGTTGGTGGTTTTCCAAAGCTTATTTCACTCTCTAGTCCTTATATAAAAAAGTTGCTTTACGGCACAGATGACACAGCAATGTAGCAAATAATATGGTACAATGTGCTGGCATTAATGCCAATATAAGCATTGAGTGTAACAAATAATATGGTGCACATATCGTCGTCCGTCAATGACAAACATAGACCCGTCGCCAACGCTGTCGACAAACAGGTATCTAACATTAGCCTGTTTGATCTTGCCAGTTCAAATCGGTTTCCCACAGATCCTGTTTCGCAGGAAATATTTAAAATGTCTAGTTAACGCAAATAGCTGGATTAAAATACTTGACGCGTGCGCGACTTCCACCACAACGATGCTTAAAGTCGTATATCAGAGTTAAAGTGGTATGAATAATGTTTGTCCGACTCAATATGATTTATATTTCGTCTAATGCGATTACGTACTCGGGATATCCTTTATCAAGTATGGCAAAAAGACTGGGCTCATTGAGAAGGTGAGAACTGCATTTTGCTGCACAAAAGCAATATTTATTGGCGATTGTACGCACTTATTACAATCAATAATTACATTAAAGGCTCTCGAACTCTTTAAAGTTTAAACACTAGTGGGCGATTCAATTAAAAATATCAGGTTGTTAATATTATGACTAACTGAATAGCTTTTCTACTTAAGCAAACAAGTCTATGTCGTTAGCTGATAAATTGGCATGTGCTATAACTAACTCAAACTCATCTAGATTTTAAAGCCTGCTCGGACTAACGAGGAAGGCCTAACCACAGCCTAACGAAGTTAATCAACAGTGAAACGCATAAAATCATTTTATCGCAAAAATAGTAGATATTATTAACGATAAACATATACCTAGTTTGGAATGTTAAATGATTTTTGTCTGACAGCTGGGACCTGTGCATGCATAGAATCGTTTATTAATACTACTTAGTATAATGGAGATAAAGGTAGGTACTACTTAGTTGTTAACCGCGGAATTACGCGTCATTTGATTAAAAATTCTTTTTTTTTTAATTTTAAATTACGACTGATAGCTTTTTCCATTAGTTACTTTCAAATTATTGGAAGAACAAAACAAAAGATTTTTGCTTTTCTTAAAATGCTCTACGTAAAACCAAAAACTATTTATACGAGTATCAAGCAATTGCAGTATTTTTAGACCACTTTGCACAAACCATAACTACACAATCTCACTAATCAATCCGATCTTCGTTCTATGATAATAACCGATACAAACTGAGTACACAGTGTGAATTGAATTGCAATGAGGATGGATATGGTGCCGTGATGAATGTGCCCACAATTTCCCACTCGTATTGAAAAGTATGATTAAAGCAATTACTCGGTGCGTAAGCGCAAACATTCACGCTTTCGCACTCAGCGATAAGAGCATATGAAGATGTGTTATTATCAGTCCATAACCACATAAAGTCTTGCACTCGGACGGGATAAAGTGGGAGGAAATTGTTTCAACAAAATCAACCTTTAGCATTATCAGTCATTGCTGTAATAAAAAGTGTGGGTGACTACAATAACAAGGATTAATTATTTTGTCTAATTTTCCAATTCTTTATGATACTTTTTAGTTAGCCTGTCTCCCGTTTCGAGAAGGAGAGAAGTGGATATTATGCTTTCAACTTACAGGATAGTGACCTATTCTCAATGTTTACCAGTTTTAGATTACTATAGAGTCAGTTTCAGCTGTGGGAACAAGAGGTCGTTATGCAATTTGTAAAAAGTATAAGGCAAATTCATTCAGAAAAAAAAAGTGAATAAGTGGATAACAAGAATTGAATGGATAATACAACAGAATTAATCAACGGAACTAATTTCCAATTGAATAATCATCGATGCATCTTTATCTCAAAAAGTTTGTGGTGTTGATAACTTCCTATCTAGAAAGTTACCGAAAAGTCGAGTTTTATTGTCATTTTTCAATTTTATAGTTATTTAGTCGACTTTTTTCTATTTTATAGTTAGTACACCTATCTCGCTCTAACGATTCACGGTATCCTAGCCGTGTAACACCGGGTAATTTTCTTAACATCTGCATTTATCGTTAGGGTCGTAAACATGAAATTATGCAACAGTAAAATCTTTAGCTAAAGCTTAACTTTAAAATGATTTTAACTTGAATACTTACATGCCTAATAATTACCAGTAATAATATTAGATGTAATTTATGTCTATTTATTATTACTCGTACTAAATTAGAAAACTTCGCCGACATAAACATTTTAATGTGACTTAGTTCCATCATAGACTTGTGTTGTGTTCCATCTGTATGGACAAGAAATCATAGATTTAGAACAGCTACGTTACAATCCAGGCAGCTCTTGGGCAAAAATAGCAATAAAAGAAACATACACAATTACACTTGAAAAAATATACCGTACTTATTGCAGTCGTGAAAAAAAGCATTTTGCAAACGATTCTTGTCTTATAATAAACCGGCAGGTACACACCGGGGCCGGTAATGCAGAACTACATAATTACGTTTGTAAAAATATCACTGCAAATTTCAATAATTCCAATGTTTCCCACGAATGCTGAACTTAAATAATCTGTGGCGAAATTAAAATAAATACAGTAAACTAGCGGATCGCGAAAATCTGCGTGGTGTCACGCGACGCGATAAAGATTTGCAACCACCAACGTTGCTTGACCTATGAAAGCTTTTACGATAGTGCTAAGCTAAATTTTCTATTGATTTACAAGACTATCGATATTATACATTGTATCGAATAAACCTATCGGTATGAAAAATTCTGAAAGTGCAAAAACGCGATCTTTTCATTATGTTGATAGCATCGGTTGTTGCAACTGGGTCATTTATTTTGACTTTGAATTTCCCTATTAACCTTAACCTTAGTTGTCGTCGCTATGTTTAGTTTTAGGCATCTACATTGTCTAGCTTCCGAGCTTTGATATTTTAACAGATTTTTTATATTTTGTTAAGTTTGTTATGATTGATTGTGAATAATTGATTTATATTTACTTGGTATGAAATTTAATCGAAAATTTAACCTACTACTAGTACATCACTTATCGTATCGTATGCTTTATTTTTTTTAAATACGCAGGTCTTGCTTATTTGGGTAAGCTCTGTACCGTTGTGTGATTTTACCAATTATGAGGGTTTATCAAATTACAATCTTTCTTTCCCGGATTGTAGTATCGAATTTATAAAATTCGCTCGTTGTAATTAAGGATAATTGTTATCGGTGTTTATTTCATCAAGATAAAACAGAACCCGTATTCTTGTATATTTTTATTTTTAAACAAACTGTTGCTGACACGCGTCTGCTTCTTATAATTGTTTTAAGGAATGTTAATGTAGGATACTATAAACTGCAGTTTTTGCTAAAATTCAGTATTGAAAGTATTTATTATTAACTACCTAGCTTCTGCCCGTGACACGGTTAACTTTCTCAAGTGGATTTCAGTTTCCACGATTTTCCGGGCAAGTTTTCCAATTCGGAACTCCAAAACCTTCCTCGGGTACCTATGTATATTTCCAAACAGAACAAACTGTTTTTACATTACGGGACTATTCCCACCTTTCGTTCCCACCGCTGCAACTCCTGTGTAGCCAGGATCTACAGCTTGACTGCCAATAAAAACCCAACCAATGAAGGCCAAGTTGTTTTTACATCACATAGAATCTTAGACAAAACCTTTATTTCAGAACCGTACATGGTCACCAGGAGAGCAACCGGAGTCCTCGTGGCAGCGGGTCGCTGGCACCCAAGTATCGCTTTACGCTGCCTTCTACGACGAGCGGACCCCGCAGCGATACGTGCGGATATTGGCTACTTTTGAAGGTGAGCTATAAAAACAATATTTAGTATTACATAAACAAGTAAACTCAATTTTCGCAATTTAAATTTATTACAAACTCGTAGCAGAACGCTGAATCATGATCTGGGTCATAGTAAGATTCAGCCTACAGAATTGATTTTCTCAACACCAGCCGATAGTGCTATCCACTGGTGGATAAATGCCTCTTACCAAGGATTTTAAAAACGACCGGTCCTACTGTCACCTAAGTTTAACAATTCATCAAACCACCAACAAAGCCCGCAGGCTAGTCGCAAACTCTGGTGTCTATGTCCATACACCATCCATCATCAACAGCCCTTTAATGATGGATGGTGTATGGACATAGACACCAGAGTTAGCCGTGTGGTGACGGCAGAGTAGAATACATTTGTCACCAACCCCTACTCTTCCCGCGGGTGTCGTAAAAGGCGACTTAGGGACTACACATCAAACAGACAATGGGCAGCAGCGCTCTCTGAAAAACATCAATCCTTTAAACTGCGATCTCCAACCCGCCTGCCAAGCGTGGAGATTATGGCAAAACCCTCCACTATAGTGGAGGAGGCTCATAGTCCAGCAGTGGACTGTAAAGGGCTGTTGACACCATCCATACTGTACCTAATTACCCTTATTTCGATATAATAACATTAGTTACTTATTTATATCAAAATCTTGAATCTTTATGCCCCTTAAATGTTCACTTAACATAATAAACCGATAATCTTCGCAAAAGCACGCCCATTTTGCATATTTTGTAACGCTGCACGCCGCATTTATAGTAAAGTAAAAATGTTAATTTCTTTTCGTTAGCTGAAAGCTATCGCTATCCAGGTTTTATTATAATCTAACACTTTCCGATCGTGTAAGTTTAATACATTTTAATTCTAATAACATGTAGTATGGTAAAAATATATAAAGTGTATAAGTAACGCATTCCTGAGCAAAAAAAGGAATAGACGATGCACAAGGAAATTATTCTGTAAGGGTTCTTTTAGACTTTCAATGTATTTAACTCGTGTATTCCGATTAGGTGCTTTATCAAAACCTATTAATGAACTAGTTAAATTTCTCTCAAGGCAGCCAAATGGATTCGCTGTCCGAGACAACTGTGAGCCTTTTGGTCACTAATTATATTTTTAGCTTATTTAACAAATCTTTAAATCCTACACCTCCACTAGACCCCCTGAAACTCAAGATTTCTATCGTATCAATATCAATTGTATGGCCTAGCTTAATTTGATGTAAAGCTTTGACCACTCCATTTGTATTATCCATCTGAACAAATACGTGATACACCTCTGTCTATTCGAATGTGANCTGCACCAATCGCATGACCGAACTCTCCGTTCTTCCGGAAACCTTCGGCTTGTGACACCTGTCCACCACTCTGCCTTCTTCTCGAAGTCCTTTACAGTGCAGGCTACTCGCCTTTGGAACTCGTTGCCACAAGATGTCAGAGAGTCGGAAACGAGGACATCATTTAAAATGAGTGTACGTAAACACCTTTCCACATGATTGCGTAATATTGTTTATTTATTTATCACATATTATATGGTATTATATGTTAATTATATTTATTTATATTATATGTTTGTATGTATCTGTATATATGTATGTATATGTATGTATGTATGTAGGTATATGTATCTTAAATATTATATCAATTAAAAATTTAACTTCAATTTTAACTTCTACCCTTCTACCTCTACCTTCGCACACACAGCTTTCTGCATAACCCAGGGGTCGACTGGCTGAGAATGCTTAAATAGCATTAAGTCCACCTTTTGTACTATTTTATTGTGCAATAAAGTTTTTATATATATATAATGTGTTGATGATAGGCACACCCAAAGCTTAGCAAGATAGAACGCGTCGTTAACCAAAGAGCGCGGTAATTGTCAAGCCATTATGAACAGCCCCTTCACATGCACCTACTGAGGGCTTAATTAGTATCTATGAATCAGACTTATCATGAATTATTCAAACTTTTATGGGTCCCCTGTAAAATTCTGTAAAAGACTCTACCGCCATGTACCAAACATATTGAAACTAATAGGTTAAGTAATTGCTTGTTTTGTTTATAATGCAAGTATTTAACTAACTACCTACTTAATCTTAGGTTCTTACCATAAGGGTAGGACATTCGATCATTTTCCATTCGGAACAAATATTCACATAAAAATTACACACGAATGTACAGCTTTCGCGAACATATAACAATACAAATCACCTACCTACAACGCTGCGATTTGAAAAATTGTACAGAACCGTCTATCTGTCCGTGTCCGTGTATCTGGTTTCGTACTGCCGTTTGGCGCTCCCGTGCTAAAACAACAGTGTAGCAAAAACTCCAGAATGCCTGGACTCTGTAATTATCCGCGCAGTTTTTTCAATATCATATTTACGTAATTGTGGACTACGTTATCCGCAGATATACTTACGTGTAAATGGTGCAAGCAACAATATTTATTAAGCAGTTATTAAAGTATCATTAAATGCTGCTATCAACTACGTAATTTACAGGTGTATTTAAAATATCTCACAAAAATCGCCGTATAAAAATATTTTATGTCATAAATGCAGGAATAGGCGATGATGCTAGTTTATGATATTCATATTAAGAACCATGAAGGAGCTATCTTAATTGTGATATAAACATAATCAGCAATTAAGTTATATTTGAACTGAGATGCACGCACGCGCTCCGCCCGGGGCCGCAGTGTTGTTATAATTAGTAATTATATAGGTCTCGATTCCTCCCCGGCGGTTTAAACTTATTATGTAAATTAGTTATAAATAGGCATTACGCCGAAGCCTTAACGCAAAGCACGCATATATTGTAATACTTTTTACGTGAACTTTAAACGTGATTATGTTGTATAAAAATTTACGGCCCAAATCCCTTTCCTCGCAACGCAATGCAAACATTGGAACAAGTCTATAATTTCAGTGCATGTGAGCGTGCTATAAACGCACGTGATGTTATAAAATAGGGGGTAAACCCTGACACAATCGGTGCCAATAAAGACATCCGCGAAATCTCGAGTGGTGATAAAACAACACCATAATTATTGGCGGACGTGATATCCGACCGCTCGTTTGTATTTTCACTGCGTCGACGAGAAAAATAACAACTTACAAGTAAGTGGTCGATCGCAACTTAATCACGTGAACTAATAGGGAGGTTTTACAATTTTATTTCTCGGTAACACTCCAATAAGTCACCGCTGCTGTCTCATTAAAAACCAATTGTGTTGGCCCCCGCACTTAGATAAGGCGTGGCGATAGACTTGGCCTCATGGCGCCGACGACAAGCTACTTTTTATTCGTACAAACATTGCATTAATCATTGTAATACTGTGCGAGAGTCTTATTACTTTTAATTCAATATAATAACCAGTTAAGGGCAAGATGTTTGATATTGTGTTTTTGACAAACCAAATAAACGCTAATTCTACAAGAATCGCATCTCTAGTTAAATTGGTAAATAAAGCTCAGGCCAACCCTGAGCTTTTCACAAAATATACGGGTTTCCATGAAGGCATGGTTAAATAAAATGTTATCAACACTATCAGCTCGTACAAAAGGGTCATTAGCATGCTTTACTTCAGCACAGCATTATCGGGCTGTTCTCCCTAAAGGTGCGTTATATCAAGTGACACAACAGAAGGTCCACGAGTATGCGCGTACGCCACGGGGCCGCGATAAGCGCACACTCATTTGTCACGCGGGGCGAGCGTACACGTCGTGTAAATTCTTTCCCGGCGAGATAAAACGCCTCCCCTATATTGTGGCGACGGATTAAAAGTATTAAAGTATACCATACTGTGCCGTCTGCTACTTTTTAATGAGAAATTCGCGAAACGATGTCAAAAAGATCCACGCGAAATTACCATGTCATTCATTTTGACAATAAAACTTCGCTATACAACTCTCGCTTGACTGAACCGCTTCCCGCATAACATTTTCGCTTTATTTCTCACTTTACGAAGTCGCGCCACACGCAAGGCAATATTTTGAGTGTCTGGTGCTTTTAATTCGCTGTAACAAATGTAATAAAAAATAAGCATGATGTTAGGTAATTGAAAGTATAATGCGAACAAGTAAACTTTGCTATAACGCTGTAAAATGTTTTTAATGAACCTATTTGAAAAGTGTACCCTTTAGGTACCCATTCATCCTTAAGAGTTATTGTAGTATGTCACACTTGACATGCCACCAATGGACATCATAACTCCTCCTTTGTCCAGCAGTGGACGTCAGTAGGCTGAAACGGAAGAACGAACAATAATACCAAATGATAACATATTATTAAATGATTTCTGTTCTAAGATAAAGGTAGCGCAAGATCGGTTCATGATCTCGCTAGTTCCCTGTAGGAAGTGCCGTCCTGTGGCAAGGCAGCAATTCAAGCCCCGTTGTAATGACGGTTCCTTGCGCTCTGCCGGGTGCCCAAGGAAATGACTCGAACAAATTACTATTATATAACTCCGGTAATGGGGATGCTCAATATGAGATATAACGGTAAAGAATCACAACGGTTCTTGCAAGATTCATTGCACTTTGAGGGAACTATCTTGGTATTGCTATTTTCCTATCTTATAATATTACCTTTTGGATAACTAGTAACATACTTAATTGTAACTTTTGTTCACAGGTCGAAACTTCCCCACCGATCAACCACTGTTCTGCCAGACGCGTATTTTGAACCCTTACGATGACTCAGTGGAAGTGGTCGCAGCAAAACCATTGGAAGTCTGGTGGCATGAGTGGGACGCTACTTCCATCGGAGTAGAAACACCACTGTTACTCTCTTGTCCTCTCACCGAGCCTCTACATCGACCCTCCCTCGTATCCGTCGTTACCCAACCATGTGATGATCCAACTAACGCATTCTATTTGGAACCATCAACATCAGTCAAACACAAAAGAAATTTCACGATATGCGTCAAAGATATGGATTTCAGCAACGACATATCACAGTCACTAGTAGAATGGATAGAAACTAATAAAATACTCGGAGTGGATAAGATTGATATTTACATCGATAAGCTAGTTAAAACAAGCCAGAATGTGTTACAGCATTATCAAGATAGCGATTACGTTAGACTCTTTCATGTTCCTATTAAATATAAGCCTGAAAGATCTCTTTGGCAAAGAAGAAGAGACCACATAATAACTTATAATGACTGTTTATACAGAAATATAAGAGAATCAGAATTTGTTATACCATTAGATATTGATGAAATTATATTGCCGAAGGTAGCTGATACCTTGCCAGAACTTATAGAAAGACTGAAAAAGGTCGGATGGGACCCAGCCCATGATTCAGCAATCATGGTGAGAAATGTGTTCTTTTTTGGCTTCATGCAAGGACTTGAGAAATATAAACACAGAAAACTTCAGTCTAAGAGCAAAATATACGTCAAACGTGATGACGTCCGAATCAAAGAAGAAGAAGACCTAGGAATAGTTGAAATAGAATTAGTAGATGATACGATTAGTAATGAAGTCATAGATTATAAACTGATTGATAAGGATTTGCGTGATTATTATAGGTCTAGATGCAATGAAGACTTACCGGTACCTAAGTTGGTGCAATATATTGTGAGCTCGGCGATGGTGAGCCCCGTTGGCTACTACAGTAAGAGTCTGATGGTGACCAGGAAAGTGCTGACTGCGTTCAACCACTACCCTTTGTCCAGTATCGGCACTTCAGGGTTCGCCGGTTGGTCAGCTCCGTACAATGAAGTGCAACTCAATCATTATAAGGTAAGGAATGATTTTACTTGAAAAGCGTATCCTTCAACACACTTATCGTAAGTAGTTAACGTCCTGAACAATAAGTTCTCAAGACTGAGTGAGAAAATAGAAAGGTGGTGTTATAAATCAATTATATTTTACAAGAAGGACTTACAATCTGTTTTTAATTGTCACAGAATTAATGATGGGGGGTAATTAAACGGACAATTTCTCACATTACGAAATAATTAACTAGTTTGTAAATTTATTAACTTCCTTAGCAGATGTTTATGATAACAATGTGAACCTTTGAACTCATCACGATTTAGTTTTCTCTTGGATTCGGCAAAAACGCTTGCGGTGTGCCACGATGACTTAACAGATTAAGGTTGCCCAGCTAGCGGTACCAGCATTATTTTCCCAGAAACCCTTTGTAATAAATAACGCTATCGTGTTCCCTGCAGGAGTCGTGCAACACGACGGTGGTGGCTGAGTGCGCGCGGTACGGGCGGCGCGCGCGCATAGACCGCGCCGCACTGCGCTTGCGACGGAGGGTCAACACAGCACTTGCTAGCGCCATCTGCACGTCGAATACAGAAATAAATGCTACCTGAAAATTTATTTTTTATTTTCAGAAACCATCGTGAGTAATCATTTTTCAAATCAAATCAAATCAAATTCGTTTATTTGTGGAACATAGGTAAATAACATATTACAGGTGTTAAAAATGAAGTCGGTATCACTATGTTTGGCCCAAGGTCGGCGTACAAATTTACATAACATCATTGAGTCGTATTAGGTTAGTAGAAATTAAATAAAATAAAAAGTAAGTTAGTAATGTCCATTACATGAAAAAGTTAGCAATATCAAGTGCAACATTTAACTGAAGCGAAAGAATGAAAATGTCGAAGCTTACGCAACACAGTACATACAATAAAAGTAAGCAACACAGCCTACGATCAAATTCCAACCAATAAATTGTTCCAATTATAGGTACGTGAAACACGCTTATAATAAAAACAGTGCGCGCCACAATTGCCGGAAGAAATTGGTAAAGACTTTCGGCGCCTTCGGTGCGGAAAACTTATGGCTATTTCCAAGTACAAAAGCATAATACGAGTAAATAGTATACATATACGATGCAGACTAATGAACTGGAGCGAATACATCAATAAACGTCGATGAACAGCCAAAATCAGAATTGATCTGTAAAGAAAGATATTGTAGAGTTTTTGAAATCTTCTATATCTTCTATACTTATAANTAACACTCAAACGTTAGCGGAAGAATGGTGGGGCGCGTCTTCGTGGATGAAACGATCTATATTAATAAAGGTCAAAAGTTCCTTTAAGTAGAGCACAACACAAGTCCTACTGACGTCAATTCAAGTTTCACTCTCCGTGACCGTCTCAAAACCATAACTCAAGCACACCCCACTTCAATTTTAACACCGCAATCTTGAGTTCATCAACTCACACCATAGCGGGACCACAAGACAATATCAGCTCTCGGATTACATTCTTAGCCTCACAAAAGCGTCGGCCTTTACAGGGACATAATAAAGGTGGTTTCAGTAGCTTTACTTTTATAGATCTTTTCATCCACGAAGACACGCCCCACCAATTTTTGGTTGAGGGAAGCGCGGGGTGCGGGGAGTTTAATCCGAGCGTCATTATTGTAGTGTGCGTGTGCACTCATGCATAATTTTTAACGTGTACACATAACACTCAAACGTTCATATCCTATTTTCGAGTAGGGTAAAGTGGGCACAATGTTACACGGGGCACAATGTTACAATGCATATTTCTCCGTCAATTTCTATTAGTTGTATGATGTTGGTATACACGTTTGTCAAGCTCATAAGAGCTGCTGAACTGAGCCGCTGAACATCATACAACTATAGAAAGGGACGGAGAAATATGCATTGTAACATTATACCCCGTGTAACATTGTGCCCCACCTTACCCTACGAAATATATTTTTTCAATTTAGTGCACTCTCTGTCTTTAATTGAAATGTGACTCACATACCTAAAAACCGATGGATAATATAAAATTACTTGCACCCTCCAGAGGCTGAAACCACTACATACCATTATGCCCTCGGCCCAAGGAAATGTCGGACAGAGACAAAGCAATCCCAGAACAAAGCACATAATTAGACCCCGCCTAATTTACTCTACGCCCACCGGTTAGGGACGTGTGTAACCGAAAACCGTATCCGGATTACCGGATAACCGGATACGGCTGGCGGTGTTCACACTTAGAGGGATTGTGTTCGGGAATTGATGGTTTGGAAATAGGGTGTGAGGGCATTGAAACATATGGTTTTATTGTTTTCAGATAATTTCTGCTGTCTTTCTTATTTTCTCTTCTGTACTATTTTATTATGATGCTAACGCCCGCATTCAAAAACGTTACTATGAGGTCTCACAGTGCGCGTGGACGCACAGGGTGACACATGAACCAATCACAGAGCTCTATTCATCTATACGATATGCTGGCTGACTCCAGATCCGAGGGCCGCTGGTTCGAACCCCGTCTGGACAACGTATTTGTGGTGAACTATTCCATCTTACTTAATACCAGGTACGATTGCGGTCAAATACCTGCCTTGTCCTGCATAAAAAAGGAACTTACTCGTAGAACAAGCATAATTATAAATTTAGCTTACTACGAGATGTTAAAGGGACTATTTATTTATACTATCTAAAAAAACGTTAAAAATTAAACGGAATTACGTTGCGTTATCGATTCTAATTAAACAAGTTTAAAATAAAACGGTTTTTTGCACTCCCGTCTAACTTCGGTTAAGTTCAGAGGGTTTGGGAGGCATTTACATTATACAGGGCTCAGTGAAGGGAGAGGTAAAAAACCACTTAAGTTGATGCAATCAGTAAATTAAACTTTTATAAAAAAAAGTTTAAGTAATTTATTGAAAAAAGAAACGGGGAAGTACGTGTAAAGTGGTTATCAAGAAATCGTGCACTGGATAATTTAGTATGACAATTAACTTAAAAATAACTTGAAAAAATCGAATGGCCTAAGGTCCGATTTTTACAGTTATGAAACATTTAATATGAGATGTGACTCTCAATGCTAAAAAAATTTCAATACCTAACTAAACAATCATTTTACTAGAACAGTCGGATTATCTGTTTTGTATTAAACAGAAAGTTGCTAAGTGACTTTTCGTTCATGCTTAAGACAGACTCCGATCATATTATTTAAGACAGTCATCAGCAGGCAATAATTTCCATACGTGCGAGCATCAGCAATAATGATGATGATGATGAGGGTGATGAACTACCTAATATACTATACGTTATTCAGGAAATTGAAGGTAGACCGATTTATTTTTGTTCTTATGCAAATATTTTCGTGGGGTATGCTAATCAAGACATTAGGGAGGAAAATTCAAATTTATTCAGTGGGATTTATAGCTAGAGCGATTCCAAATTGATACTTTATTGATAGTCCAACTAGTACAAGACTTGAGTTCATGCATGTGTATGAGATTGAGTTTACATTGTATTTATAGTGATTCATTGATAATTACTTGAAAAATTCTAAAGCAATCTCAGAAGCACATCAGTGAATAGGCACATACACATACAGGGCAGATATGTACCATCCTAGACTGCATCTTAACTTTACGATTGCGGTCAAATACCTGCCTTGTCCTGCTTAAAAAGTTCCATAATCGTCAGTTATCATTTCTACAGCCATCAGGCTGATGACTAGAAGACAGTGTAAGCAGGTCATCAACTCGGTGAACTAACAGTCTGGTGAAGGTAATGGGAAGCACCTGTATGGATGCGGGCACGGGACTATTCTCACCTCTCGTTCCCACCGCTGCAACTCCTGTGTAGCCAGGATCTACAGCTTGACCGCCAATAAAAACCCAACCAGTGAAGGTCAAGTTTGAGTAGATCACAATACTACCTAATTGTTTATGTGCCCTGAAAAAGCCCTGCACTAAAGACTTTATATTTAAAAGAAAGTGTAAGGATTTTCCCTTTTAAAATTATAATTTTTATCCGAATGTTCACATCCCTAGGCGAGTTCATTTACACCTTGCTGCATTACAGCACTACCCACGTAAAGGAACGAATTCGCAAATTATAAAACACACTCATGAATAATTTAGAGCGAACCACGCGTGGAAGAAATGCTTGTGAAATATTTCAATTTTGTTCGTGAAGATTTTGTACATATTATTTCGGTTGGTGTTGTTTTGTAGGGGATTTTATATTATTTTTTATGTGTTAATAACTAACTTTTTAAATGTGCCTGTTTAATTAAATCCTGTAGGTGTCACTTAAAGCATGCTGCTTCTACTTAATTTAGATATTATTTAGTACTTACGTATCAACATAACAATAAAAAAATGTATTTAAAAAGTATTGGTAGGTACTTTCATTTGATTATAATTGACCAACAATAGATTAAAACCCTTAGCTTGGGACTCTACGTACAAATTCTAAATCGAATTTAATGTAGAAAACCCTAACGAAATCTTAGTGAAATACGTAGTATTTACGTTTTTGTGTACCATCGTAGTAAATAAAATACCTTTCTGCAAACTGAAATAATACGCAAATCTTTTTATAAAATCCTATAAATGGGACATACAAAACAGTCATATTCCTATATTAATGTTTGTTTGTTATCTGATAATATCGTTTAGGAAAGCAATTTTCCTCACTCCAAGTTCTGTTTCTGCTCAAAAGTTTTCCTTTATGAAATTAGTTGAAGTGTCCTCAACGTTTTGGGGTCGTCTTCGGAAGAAAGCTGATGAACAATTCCGAATATTCGTTTGAAACATATAAGAATACAATTTTGACCTTTGTCTTTAAACAAGAGTTTTTTGAGTGCAGGTTTCATATGTTTTCTTTATTGTTTGTAAAGTAAAATAAAAAAAAAAAAATAAAAAATAAAAACCTTTATTCAACCAAGTTAACAACTTAGACAACATTGCCAGTGGTCCCCAAACTAGGTAACACCTGTCTCTTGGGGACTGGAGTACGAGGCTTGAAGTTAAATGGCGTTGTAAATGCACTTTATACTAGTAACAAAAAATAAGTAAATATTAAACACAATTTAAGTTTGAATTTAAGTTTGAAAAGCCACCTATGCCATCGCAAACACAGAAAAAACCCAATAATATGCCCAATAAGAAAGTCTTTACTTTATGTGTAGGAGACTAGGAGTGTGTGTTTTATGAGAGTGTATGTGTGTGTATATATTATTTATGTGTGCGATAGTGAGTGTATATGATGTGAGTGAAGCCATAATGTAGTAGTAGTAGTAGTAGTAGTACCTACTACATATTATCTCATCTACATATACATATATATATCTTCCTATCCTCCTATCTTCAGCCCTGCGTAAGTTAAACTTGCTTGGGATCAGTGCTTGCTCAAAGACACCGCTGGAAGATAGGTGGAGACAACATCTGTTTGGTGTTGACCGTCAGACGGGTGTTCTTAATAGTTGCTCCACTTCATTGTACTGTAGGGGGNCCGACGCTGTAGCAGTGTGTGTCTTATGAGAGTGTATGTGTGTGTATAATTATATATTATTTACTTATGTGTGCGATAGTGAGTGTATATGATGTGAGTGAAGCCATAATGTAGTAGTAGTAGTAGTAGTAGTACCTACTACATATTATCTCATCTACATATATATCTTCCTATCTTCAGCCCTACGTAAGTTAAACTTGCTTGGGATCAGTGCTTGCTCAAAGACACCGCTGGAAGATAGGTGGAGACAACATCTGTTTGGTGTTGACCGTCAGACGGGTGTTCTTAATAGTTGCTCCACTTCATTGTACTGTAGGGGGAGGAGCCATTTCACAATTTTTTTCTTGGTCTCGAATGGGTGGTGGTTCTTTATGTCACATTTAGCAACCACTTTGTTGTATGTAGTTGTTGTATGTTGTATGTTGTATTTTTGTTGTATGTATTAGATTCAAATAATGTATTAAACTAGCTTTGCCAGCGGCTTCACCCACGTGAAATTCATTTTATCACATAAATTATAGCCTATAANGGGAGGAGCCATTTCACAATTTTTTTCTTGGTCTCGAATGGGTGGTGGTTCTTTATGTCACATTTAGCAACCACTTTGTTGTATATATGAGGATATAGATAATCACTGTGTGACTTTGCAAATGATGTAGAAATTTTCGGAGTTGCAATTTTAAAGACACGTTTACGAAGCAGGTCCTTGTAGGTGTCTGATCTGAGTACTGCTTTGTGTGTTGTTAATACTGCTTTAAGAACATACAGTTTACGCACACTCAAAACATTACTTTCCGCATAGACCAGATTGGTGGGATACATACGAGGTCTGTTCAGCATAACCTTGAGCACTGCCCTCTGGGCTCTTTCAATTTTTAGCATTGTAGTTTTATAGGTTCCACCCCATGCAGACACGCAGTAGCCTAAAATAGATTGGCAGAGACCAAAGTAAATCATGTAAATCACAGAGGGGCATGCTGCGTCGCGGAGCAGATACATGACGTTGATTAATTTACGGACTCGGCTTGAAAGGCTAACAATGTGTTGGCAAAAGTTTAGTTTGCAATCGATGAAGACGCCAAGATATTTTATGACCTCAACTTGCTCAATGCTGTTACATACGCAAGACGTTGGGCTTGTTCCGCTGTAATTACAGTGGCCGCTGTGAATTTTAATTAGAGGTACCGTTTCTGGCTTAGACCGAGTAGTTTTATAAAAAGTAAGAAATTTGGTTTTCGAGATGTTGAGGGATAGCAAATTGCACTCCAGCCAGCTGCCACGAGGGACAGTCCCATTTCTGACTTTTTGGTAGTTTCCAGCCACGAGGCTCCGCTAAACAGTAGGACAGTATCATCTGCATAACAGATGATCTCTGAATCCGGCACCGTAACAGCTAGTAGAGTCGTTTAGGTATAAATTAAAAAGAATTGGGCCAAGAACGCTGCCCTGCGGCACACCAAAGTGGATCGTTTGTGTGTCACTAGTGTGGCCAGCCACCTGAACGCACTGTTTGCGATCCGTAAGGTAAGTTCTGAACCATGCCAGTGCTATCCCACGGATTCCGTTTTTTTCAAGTTTACTTAGTAGGATGGGTATTGAAACCGTGTCGAAAGCCCTGGCAAGGTCCAGAAAGACTCCAATACAGCAACGACCAGTATCCAGATACCTCACCACGTGCGAGGTCAGTAAATTGACGGCGTCCTCGGTTGAACGACCTTTTCTAAATCCATACTGCCGATTTGACAGTATGTTTTGGGTATCCAGGAAGTTAGTTCCGTCTGGCAGCCCTGCCTGTCAGACGTACTTAGATCAGCTGTTAGATTAATTTTAAGATAAATTATAAAATAGTCGTAATAATGTATCAAAATACACTTAATTAGTGAAATAAATGTGTAAATATCGTGTACAAGTGTTTGCAAAACTGGACTTTTTGTAAACACATAGTTATAAGGAGATAAAATCGGCGACCAGATTGACAGCTACGACCAACGTACAAAATTAAATCGGAGCCACCGTTTAAACAGGGGAGTACTGTTTTCAAAAATACTGTTTACTTTAGGTCTAAATATGTTAAATATTAATTTTGTATTTCAAAATAATTGATATTGCAATCTGTTTGAGGTTATATTTTTGTGGTTTTCAATCATTAAACATTGCTTTGTCACTTTCTTTATGGGAAGTAAATTGCAATCAAACAGTACAACAATATACTCCACAAACCTCATGAAAGTGAGATTCTATACAATTCATTACGATTCGGCTCTGTTGTGCCTCTCTTTACTTGACAATAAGTGGAAGTAAAGTTGAAGATAACAACACCTTGGCCGCAGACAAACTTACTCAGCACACTCAACAATATACTTTTTGACACCTCACACATCTTTTGTTTGTTTGATTGTGTAAATTGTTAATAGTAAGATGTAATTTTAAACCTTGTTGAAAGCTAAAAATATTACCCGCAGAAAAAAAATACAGTATAGTTTTCAATATTACTATTTGATTAATAATAATTTATAAAAAACTTTTCATGATAGTTGTATTTTGTGGAGTTAAAATTATAACTAAAGCTTAAAATTTCAAATTATAACTGTTATAACTCGTACCCCCTATTTTGCATAAATATCCACTGTACACTTCCTTTGGATAATTTCAGACAAAAACCACATTCAACATGCTCACACGCAGAGCAGCGGCACAAGCCATTNGTCTTTCCCCTTTATGACCATTCAACACGAGCCCCACCATGGCCACACAATGATCGGTGGCGCTACTTGGGCATACGATTCCGATACTAGGGCTAAATGGTTTCAGAAATATGTGATCTAGGCAGGCTTTGAGACGTGTTGGTTTTGTGATTGCCGGGAAAAATCCGTGTTGAGCTAACATGCATTGATATTGCGAGCCATGGCTATCTGCCTCGCAAAGCAGGTCGATGTTTATGTCTCCCACTACGATCATTCGCTTTTTACCTTTAAGTTTGCTGAGATTTTTATCTAACAATTCCACGAAATTGTCGGTGTTTCTTGTAGATGGAGATCGATAGATTCCTAGCACTGTGATAACTCCTAGTATATCAATCATTAGACAATTAGCTTCTTGTTTAAAGTCAATTTCAGTTGCTGAGGCTCCCAGACTGTCCCTGACATAGACTACAACACCGCCAGCTTTGTTGATATTTAACTTAGTGTGGTGAGAGGTATAGCCGTCTATTTGTTTAACNTGTCGCTAGTGGTATCCAAAATCAGAATATTGAGAAGAAATATTAATTTGTGAAAAAACAGCAAACGGCAACGTTACAGGTTAACACACTAAGATCTCGCTTTACCGTGTTTATTGTGGTTTTACAGTCTTCCAACCGATCTTTAAAAAAACACTGTATATTTAGCGAGTCGTCTATTTCTTGAGATACTTGGTCTAATGGCATATTATGTGGGGTCTACTCCGTATTTTGGAGTGGACTCCCGTACATGTAGTAACAAGTGACGAGGGTCAGCATGACCATTAATAATTTTTTTAATGCCATGTAATTTAGTCATGATTGCGACGACTCGCAAATTCGTTTTATGAAAAAAGATCGATTGCTGTGTGTGTTTGACGAATTGCTAGTTTGTGACTAAAGATAATGTGTGTTATTCTTGATAAGGCTATAGGACTGCTTTATTTTGGAAGTGTCATATTGAGGTGTGTTGAGGTATCTGTATGTGTAAGTAAATTCCATCAATTTGAAATAATAGGCATAACAGCACATTAAAGTAAGTTTGAAAGAAAGTTCATTAAGTATCATAAAAGTAAACAAAGTAATAAACAGAGAAATAGCTGATCTATTAGAATAAGCCTGGTGGGGTGGTATTCCAGTTCTCCAGCGGTTTACGTCACTTGGTCTTTTGGCTGCTCTCTGCGTCACAAAAAACCCGCTCAATATCTGAGGTGTTCCGGATTGGTCTGGCGCTGGTCCCATCGTGGGCACGCACGTGGATGCAGCCGCCCTTGGTCCAGCAGTGCTTGAACCCGTGTTGCTTCGCCTTGAGTCTAGCTTCCCGAAACAAACTCCGGTTGGCTGGTGTTAACCGGTCGTTAATATATATTTTAGTTGGAGGGCCCTCCAGTTCCAGGTCAGTGGTTGACAGGTTTCTACGGAGCTTACAGGCTTTCATGAACTCGTCGCGGGTTGTTCGACGTATGAACCGAACCACTATAGGTCTGTTGTATTCCGTTTCCTTAGCTGGGGCGGCCGTACTTGTATTGTATGAATACCGGCGGGGTGCTCCAACACGACCGACTGAGTCAATATCTCCGTGGTCAAGCTTCATTCCTGTCTTATTTGCCAGCAAAAATATCGTATGGAGCAGGTTTTCTTGGGATGACTCAGTCACTCCTGCAATCTCGACCTCATTGCGCAATAAAGTTTGCCCCTGATTATTCAGTTCTTGTTGAAGTTTCAGTTTTTCACATTCAAGTTCTGCGATTTTAGTTGAAGCTGAGTTTATTTGCTTTTTGAGTTCCGTTTGTTGAGTATGTAGTTGGTCAAAAGCTTTATCCAACTCGACTTTCCAACCCTGCAAGACCGAGTTTATTTCTCTCTTAATCGTTGTCTCGATGTTGTTTGTAAAAGTTTCTTTAATTTTTTCTAGCTTTTTGTCCAGGAGGTCACTAAATTGACTCATTGTGATTAAACCTTCGTCCGTTCCAGTGTTTACAACTTGCGAGTTTGGGTTTACATCGTGCTGGGCTGCGTCGGCGCCGTCGTCCATAGATTCATCGCAGCACATAATCGTCTCGTCCAATTTGTTTAAGTTGCCGCGAACAGGTGTGTTACTGTTGTCACCCCGTCTCTGGGTCACATTTACGCAGCTTGGACACCGCCACTGTCGCCTGGCTCCGACGGATATGTTCGCGAACAAATCCCGTGACATGTTTAGGCATTCATAATCGTAGAAATCGCCACACGAGCAGCACTTCAATGTGTTTTTAGAGGCGACTGACTTCCCACAGGCCCTACAGGTAATCATCTGTGTACTCATATTGGTTGTTTATTATTTATTCTGGGCAATACGCTAGGTAGGATGCGTATACAATTTAATAAANTTTTACATAATTTCAGATTGAAATTTGTGAGTTGAAGGTCATTTTCGTTTTCGTTTTCGGCCGAAAATGAGACTGCAGCCGAAGCTTCGTTTTCGTTTCCGTTTTCGGCTGAAAATCCATATTCGGTCGGACACTAGCTGAATGTTTTGAAAACTCACGTTTAAGCCCAAAGATATGCCTGAGTCACCACTCCGCAGCTCCGCGGGCTCCGGCGCCAGCGCCTCCACCTGGCGGACACACAGCGCACGTCAGTTTTTAACATCAAAGTCACTTATAGCTTCGGCAACAAATTGGATACCTATGTTAAGTTATCGGCTCTCAATAAAATAATAGGAAAAGAAACTCACATCGATAATCGAGGAAGAGTCCTCGGACTCCGAAGCCGTTGACTTTCGCAACTATGCGAGAGCAAATCGCGCTAATCATTTTCCTGCAACTTCACGGCGGATATTTTCTTACAGAACCTGAATTATTTAAGGATTGTTTTGCTGTAAACTTGACTTGAGATATCCCCACAAGAAAAAGTCGCATGTTGTGAGATCTGATGACCGAGGCGGCTAGAAAAATTAGTCCTCAGTGTCTCCATCGAGGTACTCTCCGTGTGTGGTGAGACACCTTCTTGCTGTGAAGCAAGACACATCGACCAGTGACTCATGGCGTATTTCAAATCCGCATTAGACTCTTTTTTGAAACAATTAAACTTAATGAAAACTCTTTGGTTTTATTTGTATTCAATTTTGAACTTGGAAAATTTTCGCTGGACACCCTTTACAATGTAACCTCACTTCAAAACTTCAAAAGAGTGTGACAATACCGAGTCCGTTCAAGTCTGATTGGAACCATGAGTGCATCAGATTCACTCCCGAAGATATCGGAACGATAAACTTCACCATCTTATTCACGTATTTCTGATATTCGGTTTGGCCGAAGCTTCGGCTGGTTTTTGGCCGAAAACGAAAATATGGCCGAATGTCCATTTTTTGGCCGAAAATTGCCGAAAACGAAAACGAAAACGAATATTCGGTCGGTCACTACATTCAGCTTAAATACTAACTTAACTAGCTACTACTTAACTAATATACCCTGGACCGGGAGGAGACGCAGCTGCGGTTTCTGGAGCAGCGCTACCAGCCCGAGCCGGTCAGCAGTCCTCCTATCTATTCAATCGTGAGTGTCGGATTCAGCTTCCACAGCGCTGGATTGTTTCATACACTGGAAAATGTTGTTTTTCCAAACGATACTCCTCAGCAAACTACGTAATTATCGCTCTATACAACTCGACTTTCCCAAATGTTG